CCGCTCCCACCATCACAGCAGCAGCAGCAGCAGCCTTATATAACTCAGCCGCCCTTGTATCCGCCTTACCAACATCCGGCTACAACATACCCTCCCCTCGCTACCAGCGAGCCGCCACAAGGATATGGGCCACCGCCACCTGCGGTACAAGCCTACAACTACAACTCTTTTCAGGCAAATGCTCACAGTTCGTACCCTGAAATACAACCTGGATACCTCGACGGCTACCAGATCAGGCTCGAGATAGTTGCTCGGTCATCGCGCGAAACCTGGAACAGTCTTGGGGTTATCAGAGACCTGCCAGGCAGCATTAGGGTCTTCGTCACGATCCATCATCTCGTCAAACGGTTTCATGCAATGTTTGGCGAGGTTCCTCCATTTTCCATGTTCATCGATGGTCTTTCCAACAATAAGGACATGCGGCCTGTGCGGAACGTGAACGGACTGGTCTGCAAAGCCTGCCATCTCAAACTTGGAAATGCTCCGCACGTAGTGGAAGAACGAAAAGCGTTTTCCCTGCCGCAGCTGGTTAATCACTTCCAGTCCAAACATATCGAGCCTATGCAGGCTCAGGGAGTTTACCCACTGCTTGACTGGGTCATGGATATGGTTTTGCTCCCTAATCTCGAAACACTTGCAAAATTGAGAACCTGTGGCGAGCCCCAGAGGGGTATGCTTGCAGATGCTCTGCCATATCTCTTCCAACCCCGTTTGACGTCTGCTCAACAATACCCTTCACCGTACCCGGTGCTGTCTAAGGGTAGGCACTTCGAGTTCTCGGGACTGGAGCTGAACGGTCTCGCCGGTCGTGAACAACCATACAATGGTTCCCCCGCCCCAAGGCAATATTTATCGGCCGGTCATCCATCTGGTAGAGACTCCGGCAACATGGTCCTACCTACCCTCACCAATGGCCGCTCTGATGCTCCTCAGATTGGCTATGTTTCAGAGCAACAACCAAGCTTGAACTTATCCGTCCCGGATACCTCTGACTTTGGAAGAGACGTGCAAGGCGAAGGCATGATGGCTGAAGCACGAAACCTTTTTAATGACATCAGTGACATGGATAATCAGGACAGGCATGTGAATCTTCACCCAGCCATGGAGAGTGCCCGCTTATCCTTTGAGGAAGCCAAGAAGGTTGAGGCCGGAACTGAGGAGCGGAACAAGGGATGGAATACAAGCAGGACTGAGTCTGGCAAGTCATATTCCTCGTACCATAACTCTGGCGCTGGCGAACATGCCAATCGGCCGCGTGAAGCTTCATTAGTTTTTCATCCAGCAACCCACACGCCTCCACGACCCCCGATGGCGGTTAGTCGGGCAATGCAACCCTTGTCAATTACTGGACACGAAGAAATGTCGAATCTACAACACCAAGGACACCCTTCGGCGGTTGACCATCGACATAGAAATTTGAATGATCGCTCTTACACCATCGAGCACGGAATGGCCGCAGTCTCGGGCGCCGCACCCCCGTCGAGAATCTATGATCGCTACGACGAGGATTCCAGACGTTCGAGGTCCCCGGTGTACGGTGCCAGTTACCAGTCGGTCTCGGCGGGAAGAGATCGAAGTCTGTTGATGCAGCAGGTAGCACTAGCTTATCTCTCTGGGGCTAGGATACCTCCTCTGAACGACGAGGTGGAGTATAGCCGCTATCGTTCACAAACAGTTGTGTCGGAATATGTCCCAAGGCGAGCTGACACTGAGGTATATGGCCGACCTCCTCCCCGGCCGGAGTATCATGATCAAGACCAAATCCCTAGACCGGAGTACTACCGCAATTTGGTAGACGCCCGGTCTCACTCACGGCCACTGGCACCAGCACTGCCTGCCGACACATATGAGATCGTGCAAGTTAGGGACGAGCAAGGAGAGTATCTCATCCGGCGCCCCGTGCGACGGGACGCGGCAGCCCAATCTTTCCACGATGCGGGACGTAGGGCCCATCGGGACGCGAATCCTGACGGTGCGGCTTCATATGCTGACAGCGAGCAGCCTGTCTGTACCGCGGATTCGCGCGAGGCTCCATCCGCAGCATATACTAGACATGGTACTTTGGTGAGAGAGGACACAGAGCGAGTAGCCCGTGGAAGGGATCCTTACTATGAAGAATATGACCCTCGATTCCCGGGTGCCTCGTGAGCCTAGTTTGGCGCAAAATGTGCCAGTTTTGGCTTCGTTTGCCCTGAGCTTATATCACGAGGGGTAAAAGGGGGTTACATTCGGTCCATCTTACGAGCATTTTTGAAATGGGTTTCTTAAATTATCTTGTTTTAAAAGATTGTGTTGCGTGTCTACGCCGGTCTGGAGGAATTCGACTGGGAAAGGGAAGATAACAAGATCGACAAGCAACGAAAGATAGAATGGGCGTTGTCAGTGTGACACATATCCAAAAGCGGTCTAATAGAGAAGCTCCAACGGAGTGATATTCAGGTACCAGAAAAATGCAAGGTACCAATTACCGTTGACGATCATTCCTACGGTACCCGTCCGTGTAGAGGCGTGTTTGTCGCTCTAAACGATTGGACGTCATGCAGACCAGAGTCACACATAGTCGATTCGGTTTCATTGTTCCATATTCCTATACTTCCAAGAACTGAACGGGATAATAACCTGGATCGTATCGCGAATTTGCTTCATCAGGTTTGGTGATAAATTCATAGTAGGACAAGTGGCCTTCAACGGTCGGAGAATTGTTAAGCAGTACCTTATTGCAGTCGGTTCGTAGCCAATGCCAGGTTTTTCTTCGAAGGTGGTATCCACATTCGCTTGAGCCATTCTGCGGTCACCCTCTGTGCTCTCTCTCAAACACACACAAAAAAAAAAAAAAGGAAAAAAAAAAAAACTGTGTGACGGTTTGCAATGGCTCATGGGCCCTTTTCGGGCTATTCTCGAGCCATGTCTTACTGGTCGGACTGGTCAAAGCTGGGTTTGTTTGTTGGCTCGGGGATCATCCTTTGAATTCTAACCTTTCGTCCCAACCAGTACGGCGTCTTCTGATGCTACTGTGACAAAGTGCGATGTTTCTGGGGTCCGCGGTTTCCAAGCCTCCCAGGAAGAGGTGAAACACGATGCTGATTGGCAGGCATGTCATCACGACCCATGCAGGGGCAAAACCGCCCCTGACGTCTTTGGCCTTTGCCATAGGTGCATGGTTGGCAACAATGGGTGCACATTGTAATTTATAGGACATTGTAGTATACTATGGTAGCAACCGCAGTACGCCGCTGTTGGATTGTGGACGTAAAAGGAAAATTAGCCGTCAGACTCAACAGGTCAGGCGTCATGTGTCGTGGTACGCCATATTACCTACTCTTCTGGGCGGAAGTGTTGGTGATGCGAGATCCAGTTGTGTGAGCATTGACGACAACGGCCGGGAATCAAAGAGGAAACAAGCGCCAGCTGTTCGGGTGCCAAGTCTGAAGTTCGAGTGATAGAGAGCCTTCGTGGGCCTACCAAAAGCCATTGTATGAAGGGTTTGTCCGTCATGGCGGCTTGGACAGGTTGAAATCTACATAGTAGACGTAGCGCTGTAGGTACGTACTGGTCTCGATTCATGGATGAGGCTATACAATTACTAGTACACTAGTAGTGTAAGTGATCACCCAGCCCCCCCCTGGCACCAGTCCCCATCTTACTAGGCCTTCACATTCGTCCAAACTTCTGCGACAACTTGATAGGCCCATGGCCCCGAATCCTTCGTCTACTCCCTGTTTGCTCCTTTTGGACTGATCCTTCACTCAATTGGGCGTCAACACATTGAAGAAAGGCCGTCATATTTGGTTGTTTTCTTGTTATCCATTCTTTAATGCTTATAACACGTCGACCGCCACTTTTGCCGGACAAAGGCCCTCGTCCCTCGCAACTTACTTCCCCTCCCCTTCAGTATTCCTTCTCGATACCCCCGTGCAGTTCTCACTCACTGCTTTCAACTCATCAAAATCACCTCTTCCGAACGGTTCGGTCAGAGCGCCCACTTCCACTCACAACCATCAACAACTTCTCGCCTATCCATATCACGTAAAATGCATACCCAGCTCGTTCACTTTGCCCTGTTTGCTGGGCTTGCCGGTGCTGCCGGCTTGGAAAGCAAGTCCATCTATGCTGTGGAGGCTATCAAATCCATCATGCCTGGGGCCTTCGCCGATTGTTCGCAGTTCGAATTCTCTAAGGAGTGCAGGACACCGGAGGAGGCTGCTCCGCATCTGATCAATTCCCTCAAGGGCCGCACCACAGGCGAGATTGCTATGATCCTGTCGCTCATCGGCGTCGAGAGCGGTGATTTGAAGTTCAGGATCAACCATTTCCCAAGCCCAGGCCACCCCGACCAAGGCACTGCGAATATGATGTCGCCCATGGTTAGTTTTGCTCTACCGAAACTTTGACTACGTTTGATCAAGCTTACTTTATATACGTGTATCTGGGACTGACCTTAACAAAACAACTGTCTAGTATGTCAGCGAGTATGCAAAAGACCTCAACTTGCCCATCGACGGCAAGTCAGGGCCGGAGATTTTGCAACTTGTCATAGCGGACGACTTCCGCAATTTTGACTCTGCACGTTGGTTCGTCGACAAGCATTGCTCGGACGAGGTGAAGGCTAAAATGAAGATGGGCACCGACGAGGGGTACAGCGATTATATCACAAAGTGCGTTGGCACCACCATGGCGGATGATCGGCTACAGTATTGGGACCGGGCCAAGAAGGCATTTGACCTCAGTGGTTAGGTCCAGGCCAGAGACAGCGATATGGGGCTCATCAATGAGGATGAATGGTAGTCTGGGGCAAGCGGTGTCTTATTCTGTTCCTTATATGTTACATCTGGTGTTCGGGAGGCAGCAAAGCTGCCTTCGCTTCCCCGGGCAAAGTATATTCATACTGAGACTTCCTCAGCTGCCCATGCCCCCCTTTTCCATTTTTACCAGACTGTTTGATACCTACCGCGAATGACAATTTTCAATCTCACTCCGCCGGCCTTACCAAAATTATTATGTCATTTCCTCCAAGTTGAAGATACCGTGGCGGCTGCGCAAGGCACCGTATATTTGTGATTGGGATCACTCTCCCAAGAAACAGTCCCTGAACTGTTTACCTTGATAAATTTGTATAGTATGACATTTCTCGGCGCAAGATCGAAGGATACGTACCACAGCGGGTTGCTGCTGGTGTACTTTGACGCGCTTAGCGTCACAGCGTTGGCGGTGTTCCAGCTACCGAGGGCAGTCGTGTTGCCCAATCTATACGTTGTTGTATTCTCGAATTAGCTGTTATACGGCCGATCAAGCATCGGTTAAGTGACTATGTACGTTGCGGGCGGCGAGGATGTTGTTAGGACCTACAGCTTAACTGTCTCACCATAGGACGTGCTAACCAGCGCTTCGAAGGTGATGGGTACTGCAGTGGCAGTGCAAGATGTCGATGCTATATCACAGGTGATGATGGTCGGTTCTCGTCAGTCCTCCTGCGCATGGTTGTGGTTATATCCGGCTGCAAAACATCCTACGGATATGAAACTTACCCGCCGACGAAATTGATGTAGGAACTCCGGAGTTTGTGCTGGTGGTCGAAGTGGGAGCTGACCGTGAGGAACAAATATCGCTGCCGTTGAGAAGCGTTGTGGAGTATAAGATCCTTGGGAGCCCCCCAGAAAGTGTGATGGTTATGCTGCCTCCAGAGTCGGTGATGAAGCTATCGCAACTCACGACGTCGGTGACCGGTTCATCTGCACTAAATCCTGACGCCAACGAAGACAGAGTGACGGCGGTGGAGGACGACGCTCCGACATTGGTGAAGACGCCCACAACTTGTTTGTTGGATGAACCTTTGCGCATGGCAATAGTGTGGCTATCGGAGTAGATGGGCCATGCACGGTATGTCAGGTAGCCGTCGTCTTTTTTGATAGCGTGGGTACGAAGCTGATTCAGCCGTTTAATCCACGTGTACAACTCTGAGTTAGTTGAAAAGCCGGAAAGCCAGAGGGCCTCTCGGTTGTAGGGAGTATCACTGCCCGCATAATGTTGTTCCTGTCCCTGATAAATGATCGGGATGCCTATAGGGGATGAAGATGATCAGCCGAAATCCGAGCAAATACCACAGGTTATGCAATTGGCAATGGCATGTACAGACCGTCTTTGAGCATCGTAAAGGCAATTGCCTATTGCAGATGTCAGTTGCTGTACGTTGAGTACGGAAGTGTTCCCGGAGATGAAGCAACAGGTGCTACGAGGGACAAACATCCCTGGAGGGAAGGGGCAACACACGTTCTTTGCTAAGACCTGCAGTGGAGGAAGTACATGGATCAGCGAGGAACCACATCGACTAACATGTATAAGAAGCAGAAACTCACCATATCACTAGTTTTGTGCGCAAAGCGAGCCTGGTCATGGTTTTCGAGGAACGACCCGTAGAGACTGAGGTCAATCGCTTCATCATATTGTCAGTATTATTGGTTGAAACCGGCCAGGATATTGGACATACCAGCAGCTTTAAGTATGTTGATACCGCTAGCCAGCGCAGTGATGTTGCCGCTTGTTGACTGGAACGCATTTACTGTCCAATAATAGCTGCATAAAAAGTTGACCTGGTAAGCAAGAGCCGACATGCAAAAGGCTCAGTTTTAGTTCACCCATTACCTTGCATAATCCAAGACGCCGCTGATGTAGCTCTGGTACGGTGCCAGATACGCCGGGTCTCCTTGGAACACCTCTCCAATGGCGAACACGCCGGCAGCGGACTCGAATCCCGGCCAAAAGGACTTCTCAACGTGCTTGACACTATCGATACGAAGGCCATCGCTGTAACAGTTTAGGTTAGTTCTCTCCAGGAAGACAGTGCCCTGTTCATCACTAACATGACAGCAATGGGGAGCAGTGTACATACATACTGTACGTTGACACGATCTTGGACACCCAGTCGTGCCATATCTTGCGGACGTCGTCGCTGTTGCGTTCACCGTATCAGTCATCTTTCAGAATAGAAGCCTGGAACAGTCTTGACCTACGTTTCGGTTTTGAGGTCCGGTAAACTATGTGCACATGTGAGGCGTCAGTCAGGCTAAGGGGTATTGCTCGTGGAGTCAAGAGTCCGAATGTATGACTTCATAGCACTTTACGTTACTGCCTAACGACGACAGACGTACCTGACGACATCACTTCCTTGCCAGCATCTGAGTTCCATTTGTCAGTGTCTGCCTTGTACCAACTCCTGTTGACGGTCTAGTTACATGCCAGGGGATGGGACCGATCCACTCACGTTTCGATGGAGGTTTGGTTATCGTAGTTGATGGTGCACGGAGAGTGATAGTAAGATTGCTAAATAGTCTTCAGAAACTCCTCTACCTTGTCTTTATACATTTGGTATCACTTACGGAAGAGAAAGGATTGAGACCTTGGTAGTTGATGCACGAACGGCAGCCCAAATACGCCATGTGGTTGGTGACAACATCCACCATGAGGTACTAATCGTTATGTCAGCGCTTTGGTCAGTCACCTGTCAACCATTTAACTGTTTTTTTTTTTTTGGCCAGGCGTGGGAGAGTGGAATCTTACCATGCCGCGGTCATGAAGCGCTTTGGAAAGCCCCTTGAGGTTGTCTGCGGTGCCAAACGAAGGATTCAAGGACCAAATATCTGACGCCCAGTACCCATGATAAGAAGACCTAAGTTTGATAATTGTCCAATTAATGTCCATAACGACCGTTTGGTAGTCTCGGCATTCCATGGCCGCCAAACATACCCGTCTTTGGTGACTCCGTCAATCTGCTTCACGATTGGGGATATCCAGACAGCAGTAAATCCCATTCCCTGAATATAGTCCAGCTTCGAGATCAGTCCCTGCCATGACCCGCCGCAGTATACCTGCTGGGATGTGTCACATGGCGCACTGGTTGACAGATCGCTTCGAGCAAAACGATCCGTCACGACCTGATATATGGACTGCTTGCGCCTACAGGAATATCTCGTTAGTTCAGGGTACTTTCTCATGTTTTCCGTGTGGTCCATACCGTTCCCGAAACCCCTGGAGGTCTAGTACGGGCGAGGGGTGAAGAGACGGAAGACAATCTTACCATTCTGAAGACGTAAGAGCTCCCACTTGGACCGCCGCTGAGAGTAGCAGTCCGAGGACAACGCTTAGTTGTCTTTCGGGCCTCATTTTGGTGAACGGTAAAAGTTAAAGCGTCAAAAATCAGGAACCGATGGCCAATATTATCCGATTGCCAGTGGGCAGGACATACCGTCATTGTCTCGGAGCGGCGCTCCGAACCTTTATAGGCCATCTTGAACTTGAAAATGATACTTTACCAGCCATTACTGGCCAGCAAGATGACGAGCTTGGGTTCTATAAACCTCGGATGATGAGGAAGCACGGGTTTCAGGACATTTCATGCCCGCTGCTTCACGACCAGGTTCAATTCGGGCCGTGAAATTGCGTGAGGGTGTATCACAAAGGTCTGTCGAGGTCTTCATGTTCAAGCTTGGAACTGTCCACGGAGTTTGAGGCACCTTCCGTGAGGTCCCCAATTTATCTGGCTACACAAGGCGGAGGTAGTATTCGGTGCTGATGGAGAGGCCACTGGATCTACGGATCTCTGGCTCAGCGCGGTAACCCCAGACGCTACACCCCGGATTCTTTATGAGCCAGACTATAGCGACGGGATTGTATGTGTGGGTGGGGGGCCAATGAGGCAGAAGGCCCGAATACCACAGTGTTGGTGACCATCCGGCCGACAACGGGCCGGCTGTAGCGATGTTTAGTAATTCGCGGAAAGGAATCCAATGCCAATTATGTATCAGATCTTATGCTTGTAGCCATTTCTCGCCCTCCCATCTGATATGTACCGAGCATAACTTCCAGTCGATACGATATTCGGCCCTCCTCATGGCTATAGTTGGCTACGAGTGAGGACAAGATAAGGCATTCTGCATTTTGTTATGTTCATGTGATCATACGGCCAGTCTATCTCATAGCAATCTCTCACTCATACCGGGTCCCACAGTCATTTTTTCCCGCTCTCTCAAGTAAAATCAACGCGGCACAGCTCGGTGTCGGTTTGTTAGTGAAATAGTCTGACCTTTTCATGCCTCCCTCCTGGCATTTCCTGTCGACAGAACGCGTAAGCTCGACACAAATAACCAGAACAACTTGACATTCGGTCACATGTTGAGTGGGAATCTAGGGCTCATTGTATAACAAGTCTCGTTGCTGGGCAAACGCAGAACGACACAAAACAAAACACCAAAAGAAGGGAGAAAAAAAAAAAAAAAGAAAGAAAGAAAGAAAAAAGGGCACCGAATTACAAACTAACCATCACCATGCCCTTGCCTCTCCTCACTATTGTGAAAAATAGGACTGTTCCGGCCCATTCCCGGAAAAAAACTGAAAAGGTTGATCAGTTCCCCAATGCGCAGTCTGAGTGTAGTTCTCGAAGGAATTCTATTTGTAATCTATCGTCAGCAAAAAAGTGAAATCCTCGATGTCCCTAATGTAGATGGTCTTACCCAGTCAAAGTTCGTGGTAAAGTCCAGTGTACTGTTCCCTACGCCGTCACCAAACAGTGAGGAGAACGGAGATGTGTCGCCGATTCCAGCCATCGTGTTGCCCAGGTAATCTGGCGTCAGGCCCATGCTCAAAGGACCTGTGCCAGAAGTCGCTGGGTCGGCACTGACGTTGATGTTCAATGAAGGATGATTGGGCCCATCAAGACCTTGTGCCACATGTGTTGGTGAGGTTGTGCTTGCATCTATACTTCCTGAGAGCATACCCAGCGTTATGGCAGCCGAGTGCTCTGACCGCATCTCTTGTACTGGGTCTGAGAACTCGGTCGCTTTTGCCGTTGTAGGAATTTCGATCGCGCTGCCAGAGTGTTGAGAGGACTGTGTGCCATTGATCTTGTCCAGCATAATCTCTAGGACATTGAACGCCTTGAGGGCGTCCATAGACTCATCTGCCAATCCCTTCCAAATGTCTCGGGTGACTTCAAGGCTCTTGATCATCTCGGCACGTTGCTCCGAAGTCCAAGGAGGACTGGCTGGTGCCGTCTTTGCTCGGCGTAACGTGTTGTCATAGTGCAGATCCAACACGATCAGCATAGCGGGAAGGAGGAAGTCCTTGGTTGCGATAGAAGTCACGAACCACTTGATGGAGCGAAATCGACCTCTTGGTTGTGATTCACGGTGGAGCGTTGCCAGATGACCCAATGACTCAAGGGAAGATGAGATTGCCCTAAGCCGAGAGCTGTTATATTTGATGTTTTGTGTCGCCTTCGACATGTACCTTCTGTGAAGAAGACAGATGATTTTCTGGAAGAGAATATCGATATTGAACCGCGCAATGATCAGCGTTAACGGATCATGACAGCCCGAGAGGGGTTGGAACCGTAGGTGCGGAGGTAGATTCGCCTTGATCTCACGCAGTTTTGCGTCAAAGCGAAGAACTTCATCATAATGGACCGGATTTCGGATACGACCTGTTGCTTGTAATATGTTGCCCAGCTCCAGTGCGAGCTTAACCTTAGCAATCATATAACTGATGTTGGTAGGCTCTGTATCTGGTTTCGGTGGGGGTAGCACCTTGGTGTCTGGATGGAAATCCTCATCGGCCAGGTTGTGCGGAAGGTCGGTGTCGCAGTCGTGTTCGTAGATCATAGTAGGTAGAGAGAGCTGGTGTGAAAAAAATACGTCGCACATCCTGATTAAAGCCCACGTTCTTCTTCTCATTTCCTAGATAATCAAGCCAAAAGTGTCAGCTGAGCGACTCATGTGATAGTTCCCTATCAAGCGGCCTTTACCCGTCCTTTTGTAAGTGAATGAAACATTGAAATAAAGGGCCTTACAGCTTGGAAAGGAGTAAGAGAAGGAAACCACTTCGCATCTCTGTGATAGCCCATACGGAAGGCAACCCTCGTGACCTGAGACATTATCAACCACAGGCCGACATCGGCATCCCACCGGGATGAATGTTCGGCAAAGAGGTAGAGAATCATAGTCTCCACGGTATACTCGGTCGGCTTCGTATAATCGCCTACCCGGAGACACTGAACTGTTCGGAGTCGGTACTCGGCTGCCTTTTCCAGTGTGCGGCCCTTCCATTCGGGCGGCTCGTCACCAACCTTGTGATAACTCAACATGGCCAGGCACATGACCGAATAAAGCAGGCCCAACCACATGATTGGTGTCCGAGACGGGTCCAGCCAGTGATTGCGAAGCTGCTGGTGGAAGGTGGGTGGATGAATGATATTAGCAGCATTATCCATTGAGTTGAAGTACCTTCCACAAAGGGTCAGGACTGTTGACTTGGAAGGCAACTCGGCCCTCAGCTCAATTTCGGCAGCAGGTGTTGACTCGAAAAGAAACGTGAGGCCTTCACAAGCTGTAGGCGGCTTGCTGAGCATCACTTTCTCATAGCTCTTCTCCAGGTCCTTCTTGTGAAGTGCAAAGTAGTTCTTGACCTCGGCGATGTCCGCCAAAACGGTGTGCCAGTGGCCTTGTCCGACATACATGGACTTTCCCCTATCGGGATCCACCTTCAGAACGCCGAGGGAGGTTGCCAGTCCATCGTCGATGTCACTTTCTCCCTCGTCATCTTGCATAGCGCCATCATCGTCGTCGAGGTGTAGGAAGGCCGAAGAGCTGCTAGTCGTCGTCGAGCTAGTACCTTGTCCTTTAGCATGTCCACCAGTAGAAGCCGCAGCGTTTGTGGCAGTAGCGGCCGGAGGTAGATCAATATTAGCACCGCCATGCACAAGTGACAAAACCAAGCCTTCCAGCCTGTCAATACGGTTCTGCATGTCGTCGGGAGAGGCACCTGGTTGGCATTGACTTTTTTTCCGGGCCGGCGGCGTGGCATAGAAACACGAAGGGGCATCTGTCCCTCCTCGTTTAGTGCAGTTTCCGCACGGGTGATTTCTGTCACACTTTCTATAATTTTTTGTTTTAGCAACTAGGCATCATTAACGACGGTCTTGCGCCGAAGGCCGTTCAGGATGTTATTGGTCATAATGCTTACAGCCTATATTAGGTTATGTTAGTTGAGGGATAACCCGAGCGAGGCGGCTGTCCACGGGTGGATGGAGTGGCTCACTTTCTTGACCGGCAAGGATAACAACTGAGCGGTACTCTGTTTCGCTTTCGGACAACACGAAACTGCTCCTGGGGGGAACGGCCGCCGGAAGAGGTGGTCGACGGTGGTGTGGGCGTCATGATCTGCCGCGCTGGATTAGATGAGTAACAGGATTCTGGCGCTGAAAGGTCGTGGTACAAGGGCAAGTATGTAAGGGGCTGCGTTGAGCTGGCAATCACATAGAAGTCCCAGTGGAAAGCAGGCCGAGTGGTGATGTTTGTGTTCAAGTTGGCTTTTCGAAAGAGGACAAGCTGAGCGAATGTTGTGGGCAGCTGCCTGAATTTGGTCACAGCTTCATCATCATATTTGCAGGAGTTTACCGTGCTAAAACAGGGTCTCATAGGCACATACCAGTCCTGAAAATGCTGCCCGGAAGGTGCAAGCATGCCTTCACAGCCTCGAATGCAAACAGGTGAGCACTTATCTTTTAATGGAGGACGGGGAGAGGAGGAGGAGGCAGGGCCATAAGCCAAATGAAAGCTAGGTTGGTCGGTAAGGTAGTAGTCGTTGTCGAGTAAGCAAAATGACGGGCCTCACGTCGAGAACACTCTCCGTCGACCTGTAAGCAATCATGCCGCAGCAGAAGACTGAACGTGTTGGGTACGATACACCCCGCCGGCAGTATCAATGTGAAACTGTGCTTTCCTCTTAACCCCCCGTATACTCGTTAGCGCTTCATCCTGTCTTCATCCATTGTATAGGTGCTGCTTTGTACGTAGTACGCTCAAATGTCAACAGCATGTTCGGGCCACCAATGCCTAAGGAAAGCTTGGCATTTCAGTCTTCACCACACACAGTCAAAAATTGCATCACCAAAAAGGTTACTGGTATCTAGTACTTAAACACCATTTTCTCAGCGAATCATCGCCCACACAAAAAACAGTACTGCCGGACTGCCCATGGCCACTGGGCAGTTTTCCCTGCTATTGCGACCACTCGGGAGTACAGCCAGGAGAAAATGTGTTGCATTACTCGATCCGTCGATAAGCGCAACACCTTGCGCGTTAAACGTGCGCCGTCATTGTACGCCTAGCACTCAGTTAACCGTTGACAAGCCATGACTGTCGCTTAGCAACTTAGTGTCATCAGTACTGTCTCTTATCTCAGCAGTGCGCCTGATACGTCTTCAGCCTGTGAGTCTTGTAGTTTTAGGCTGTCTCATGCAATTAGTGTTGCGACCATCTTTTTATCGCCATGATTCCACTGCATCATCTTGAGCCGTAGGTACCAAGGAGACTGATCAAAGCCAACTCAGATATGATATAGGGGACACTCGACAAGAACGTGATCTGCCTTTTTGCCTCTATTTTCAAGACTGACAGTCGCTCAAGAGCATATATACAGCGGTTCCCGTTCCGACCAAGGAAGGTTCGGTGCATGCTGAAACCTAGGATTGCCCGGCGGACGCATCGCCGTTCGCCTTGACACTATATGGTTTGAAGAAGTCGGCGTCGTTCGCCAACTCCTCCTTGACCTGCATTCTTAGTCAGTCCGCTGTCAGTAGGATGACATAGAATAGGCTTCACGTACGATATCGAGTCCCCCCACTAGCTCACCGTCGACCCAAAGTTGTGGATAAGTAGGCCAATCAGCAAATTCCTTAAGGCCCTGTCGTACTTCGTCGTCCGCTAGAATGTTAAAGAAACCGTATTTGACGGCATTTTCTCGGAGAATAGCAACCAGTTGTCGCGAGAAGCCGCACTTGGGCTCACTGGGAGTACCCTTCATGAACAGCATGACCGGGGCGGCCTTGACCAGGTCACCCAGACGTCTGAACAACTCCTCCTTTTGCTTCTTGGGGTCCTGAGGTACAACGTCGCCGGCCTGGCCCTCAGCAGTTGCGGCGCCATTTGCGATCGCCGGTGTCTTCTCACTAGCTTCAGTGCCGGACTGGGCCGATTTTTTGGCGTGGGTCTCAATCGCGTTTCGAACCTTGACGGCACTGCTTCCGCTAACCGTCTCCAAAACCTGGTTATTCCGGGCGAGCACGAGAAAGGGAACGGCCGTCACGTTGTACGTTTCGCTAATTTCCGACAGTTCTTCGGCATCGATCGAGACCCAGGAGGTGGAAAGCGGTTCAGTAACGGGATATTCGCTCGCCAATGTCTTGAGCACTGTCGCCATCTGGGCGCAGGGCGCAGCCCAGGGCGCGTGGAAGGAGACGATCAGGAGGGTGGACGCCGGCAATGACGACACATGATTGTTCCAAGCCTCGATACTGGTAATGTCCTTGATGGTCGACATAATGCTAGTTGCGCGGTTCAGATGTGGTCGGGTTGATGATGGCTTGGCCGAGCGAGTTTTGAGAGTCTGGTTTGGTGGCTGTCTATTACGGGTATCGATGTCGCGCCCGTGATCCAAGTGTGTAGAGGACGGTGAACAAAAGAAATGGATTTCGTTACAAGGTCAAAACGAAACTGAAGGTTCCCCAAGGCCTAATGTGGATCGCTTGTTGGAGGTACCGAGTTGCCGGCGAGTTTAGTTGTCCTGACACCACCGATACTGGTTTTCCCCGGCATCATCCATCATCCATGGTCCGAAAAACGTCAGCGAGTTCGGCCTTGCCCCTCGTGGTTCTTCAGGCGTGCCCCGCGGCTAGTCTCAGTTCTCAATGACCCACTCACCTCCAAAACCCACCCTACCCCACCCGTTTTTGCGGTAGCAGGTCTGAGCGGGTTTTGGGTTTTTTTGGCCGTCGGCTGCAGAAGAATAACCAACCATTAGTATATATAATAAATCCAGCAGAATTAATATAAAAAATACAGTTCCCCTGGGCGGAGCCAATGTCCAGGGGAGACAGAGAGACGCCACTAGAAATTACTTAATATATAATTAAAAAAAAAAAAAAAAAAAAAAAAAAAAAAAAAAAAAAAAAAAAAAAACTCAAAACTGAACTGAACAAGTAACCTTTAAAAAAGGTAGTAGTAAGAATAACCACTAAGCTACAAAGCTTTAATAGTTATTTAAATTAATTGTCGAGTTTCTTTCCCTATATTATTAACCTTTGGAAAAAAAAAAGGGTAATAAAAAAAAGAAAAAAAAAGAAAAAAAAGAAAAACTCAAAGGTAAAATTTTGAAATTTTTTTTTTCATTTTTTTCTCTTTTCTAGAATTTTCTATTTTGGACCCTAACCCTAACCCCCTCCCAAGCCCTTTAGGGTTAATAGTATAGTTTGGAACTTGGTTATTTCTAGGACTTAGTTATTTTTAGGACTTAATTATTTCTAGGACTTTATTATTTACTACGGTCGTAACTAAAATCCTTATTTTTAACTTCTTTTATATTTCTCTTAATAGTTAGCGCGTATACTATAATGCAACCGGTACCAAAATGACCACCTTTTCTTTCTCGTCATTCTGATACTATATGTATTTTAATGTACGTAACGGTCGCGGAGCAATCTCCGTTGTAAGGGAAAAAGTGGCTTTTTCGCTCTGCTATTTAAACTGTGTCCTATTTGGCGCTAAGTTTTCCTTTTTAGGCCTGCCAAGCATATACCAAAACGGGTAATTTTCTACATTCTAGCCTATTATAAACAAATACGCTGTACCTTCCTCGCTTGCGGCATTAGAGTAGGCCTATAGACTACGACCTTTGGTATAGATCTTCCATGTTACCTTTCGGGCCCACGACAACGGCCGGGCAAGCTCTGAAAGCAAGGGCGTTTCAATAAGTAAAAATACAATTTATATAGAACTTTTTATTCTGTTTCTAATAGTGGTCTTAATTTTTCTATATTATTTATATTCGTTAAGATGCAAGGCTTTAAACTTTAGGACTTTTACCCCCTCAAGGCTATATTACCTTAAGGGGTAGTCCGTGCCTTATTAAAATAATACTATTAAAACCGCCTCGTCGAGGCTATCCTTCCTATATAAATATTCCATCCATCCTAGTAATATTAAAGCTAAAAATAAAAGAAGTCTAAAAGTAAAAAAATGAAATATTACCCCCTCGAGGTTGTATTACCTCAACTGGTAGACCGTACATTATAAAAATAGTACTATTAGAATCGCCTCAACGAGGCCATCTTTGGAAAATATTTTTTATTACTATAATACCAATTTTGACCCTCAAAATAAGGAGTGTCTAAAAGTTCTAAAGCGACTACAGCCGGCGGAGGCTTACCTTTAAGGTTGTATTATTATAATAGGTAGTCCGAGCTTTATAAAAATTATATATTTAGGAAGAGTTTAAAAAGACTATCCTCCGGATACCTTATTATTATTTATACTATTCTTCTTTATTTTATTATCAAAAGGTATATTTAAGGGGATAGTAGAGCGATATGTAGGTGCTAGCCTTATATGTATATATTAAGGTTCTATAAAGAAAGAAAGAAGAAAACGCTACCCTCCGGGTGGCTGGAGTGCCAGAGCTTAAATAGCCGTGCGCTCCGGTGCCTTGTAGCCTAAAGCCGCTAGAGAATACTCTAGAAAACTAAAGCGCTACTATACCGCGGTCTGAATCGACTAGGGCAGTCTCAATATAGGCTGCCGTCTTAACACTCGAGTCTGGCTTAGTTAGAGCTGGATACTCTGTCGGGCGCTAGTCTTATAATAGTGTATAAAAATAAAATTTAGAGTTTATATAGGAGATTTTACAGCCGATAGCGTTTTTACACAAAACCGTAACAGACCTTCTCTTATAAAAGTTCGAGGAGGGGAGACTTATATATTTGTAGGGCGGGTCCGCTGAAGGTTGTCGTCGGAGGTTAATATAATAGAGACTACCCCGCGGCGCCGATGCGCTTTACTAGTCTCGGATTTAGACCCACTTGACATCCAAGACCCACCCCACGCTACGAAATAAGACTTAGTATTATTATATATAATAAATATATAATAAGAACAGCACGGTTAATATGCATACTAGTAGTATAACTTAATTAAAATTATATAAAGGAGGTAAAGTTATTTAAAATACAAATTTACTAGCGTTTGTATTATAGTATTAACTAGTAATAACAATCTAAATTAACTAGACTACTAGAAGCTTCCTTGCTATACTATACCCAGTCTAGGCATTTAGACTGCCGTGCCCGGGCTACCCTATAGCCCGTACTCTAACTTATTATATAGTATATCTACTACGTATAGACAGCTAGCTAAAAGCCTTCCTTTTCTTTTTAAATCATTTTTTCTTTTACCTTCTATACTACAAATCGCTTCTAGCTATTGTAGTATCTAAAAGTAATAGTCCTTACTATGTAACTAACTATAGTATCAATTTTTATATTATTTCTATTAGGGCTACACACCTTGTACTACTTTAACTTATAATAATTTTAAGTTTAAGAATTAAAGTTTATAATATAGATACTAGCCTAATAATATTGCCCCTCTTCTTTTCTCCTCTCCTATCCTATTATACAAAGGCGTACTCTATAAGTAGTAATTATAGACAATAATAAAGTAAGTTAAGATGTATTGTACCTTCCTCATTATACTTGTATAGTAAGTTATATTATTATAAAAATTATTTTTACTTATTAAAGCTTAGCTAACAGCTCTATATATATGTAAAGAACTTTGTTAAAAAGAACTTTATATAGTATTTTACTACCTAGAAGAAAATAATATAATTTTATTTGTACACTGTAAATAACAGACGTTGCCGGAGCTAGGCGTCTAATTAGATCGGCATATTATTTCCGCACCGCCCCATTCTTATTATATATTAGTTTCTAAACAGACCCCCTCTGCCTCCGTACCACCCGCCCCACATGAAATGTGGGTCTTCTCGAACTTTGTGAGAGGAGGTCTGTACCAATTTTGAGCATATCGGCCGTCAAGCGCTGTAAATCCTATATAAACTAGAGTTTTTACTTTTTAAATATTTCTTTATAATAAATTAAAAAGAAATAATATAATTAACAATAAAATACTTAAAAAATTACCCTTTTAAGCTCTTTCTAAAAATATAATTTTTATAGAGCTCGGACCAACCGTTATAGTAATGCAACCTTAAAGGTAAACTTTCGTCAGCAGCAATAACTTTAAACCTTTTAGATACTTCTTATTTTAAACGATGAATTTAGCCGTATAGTCAAAGAAATAATATGTTGAGAATGGCCTCTTTGAGACGATTCTAATAGTATTATTTTCATAGTGCACGGACCATTAATTAAAGTAATATAACCTCGAGGGGGTAGTATTTTAATTTTCTACTTTTGGATCTTTTCCATTTTTGACCTTATTACTAGTCATATAAATAAAGTAATTATATGAAGAGAATGGTCTTGATGAGGCGGTTCTAATAGTACCATTTTCATAAATTATAGACCACCCGTTAAAGTAATATAGCCTTGAGGGGGTAAAAGTTTAAAAGTTCAAAGCCTTGCATCTCGATGAATATTGGCTGTATAAGAAAACTAGAACTACCATTAGAATCAGAATAAAAAGCGCTATATAACAGATATTTTTACTTATTTCTATTGATTTTATTGGATTTATAATATATAGTAATGCTTGGTTATTCTTCTGCGGTCCACGGTCGAAATGCTCAAAATTGGCTCAGACCTGCTACCGCAGAAACGGGTGGTGTGGAGTAGGGTGGGGTGGTTTCGGGAGGTTGAGTGGGTCTGAGAACTGAGACTATTGTACATCCCCTCCTGCACATCAGGGCGCTTCGCTAGGTAGAGGTACCCACTAGCCCACTAACTCTGGCTTGGATGCTCTTGGCGGGCTTGGATCGCTGTCACGCCGACTGACTCAGCCCAAGCAAGCTCAGGGCTCCCATTCCCAGTCGCTGTATTTCAATGTCAGGTTGACCTAGGTGTCAGAGTCGTCAGGGGGGTGGGAGTTGTCCGCGGATTGGAACGTAAAGCGGCTACCAAGGTACCTTGGCGAATCCATACATGCAGTGAGTGGTTGAAGTACCGTGCACTTGCGTCTCTCCTTGCTGCCAGCTATGATCATCCCATCCGCCCCAGTTCCCGAGTATTTATTCCTCTTGTCGCTCTCGTAGTCAAACGCCGTCTTACCGCCTCATATTCATTCTCCGCTCGCCTGCCCGTCGTTTTTAACAAGTGCCGTCTCTGTGTCCGTCCCTGGCCACCCGACATATAGACTATATACACTATACACCTACCAGGAAAACCGTGATACCTACCTACTTCTACGTGCCTGAAGTGTCTACCATCAGCCCACGCAGCAACAAACATGTCGGCTCAGCAATACTACCAACAAGGCCCCCCTCCTCAAGGATATGGACCGCCGCCTCATCAGGAAGGATATCCCCAATACCCTCAGCAGGTGAGTTCGGAGTTCCCGGCGGCGTTCCTCACCGACTACACAAGCCCGCTACCTAAACCACAAAAACTAACTCGGTGATCGGTTACAGTCTTATGGTCAGCCTCCCCCACAAGGGTATTACCCCCCGCAAGGTCAAATGCAATATCAACAGCAGCCTCCTCCTCAGCAGAGCGGTGGTGGGGACGGATGCTTCAAAGGGTGCATGGCGGCTCTCTGTTGCTGCTTCGTGGGCGCCGAATGCTGCGAATGCTGCGCTGACTGCTGCGAATGCTGCGCTGAGTGCTGTTGATATAGTGAGGATAAGCATCACGATCTCGACGGTTGAAGGTGGATGTTGATGGATCTGAACACAAGCCTCTGAGAATTATTCTTGGAGCAACACGGGCGCAATGCATGCGGAACCCCATACACATGCGCACAACATAGGCACGCCAGTACACAAGATAGATGGCCGCAAGCTTCGTCAGCTGGAATGGCAAAGGCAAATGCAATGAGTTGTCTGTTAATGGACAGGAGCATCCTCGTTTGATAGTCAATCACATTTTTAGTTAGGAAAAGGGTTAAGGGGCGTTGTGGGTATGTGCATACAAGGTAATAATTAGCGATCACCTTGGTTTCTTACTAAGAGGCATCGGAGGGGAAGGGGAGGCTTGACTTGTAGTTTCACGCTAATACCTCGACAATCGTTATAATATATTTAAAGCTCTTTTATAGTTTCTATTAATTTATATTATTCTTGGAATATTATAATTTAAATACATTAAAGGTATATTTGCTAGTTATAATCTTATACTTTTTAATCTTACTACTTACTGTATTATTTAGAAATGAATTTACTTATTAAAATAAGCTTGAAGATAATTAAATACTCATAAGTAAGTTTTAATATTTACTTTCTTAGTATTTTTACTTATAAGGTGTGCAGCACAGTTAGTACAAATGCTAGCTTTAATTGATTAATAAAGTTCTATAAAGAAGAAAAAAAGGGAAAAGAGCGCCCTCTAGGCAGGCATAGTATTATAGAGCAAGAGGGCACCGTTGGAAATAGAGTAAAATATACGTTATTATACAAAGGAGAGGAAAGAAAGTATATGTAAAGGATTGGCTATATAAGCATAAGCCTGGTAGGCTAGTTTATACATACGTATGTAAGGCTGTACGTAACTAAATGTATAACTAATACGGCGGTATAGTATAGGTATTTAAGAAAATATATCTTAAATATCCTTCTTAATAATTAATTTACTAATAGCTAGCGGGTTTATATCATTTAACAATTTAATTTAATCTAGTAAATAGTCCTTAGGAATATTTACTTTGAGGAAAAAGCGGTTAATAAGAATTTTAACCTTACTATTATAGTCTCTAATTTTTATTACCCCTTTGCAGGTTTAAAGGGTTAATAATTTAGACGGATTTATTAATTAACAATTTTAAATCCGGGCTCACCTTTTAAATAGTTAAAATCGACTTAGGTTCTTCGAAGCCTCTATAACGCCTTCGTACAATATAGCCCGTTATACTTTTACTATTATTTTCTTCTTTTTTATTATAATTTCAATAAAATCCTTCCAATTTAATACTATTTAATATTTAAACTACATCTAATATATCCGCTATACTTCCTTTATAATTATTTTATATTTTAATATTTATTAATTTACTTTTCTCTCTTAACTTTTCTTCTAATATAAGACGAATTCCTCTGCAATACTTATAAATTCTCCATCGAACCTACGAAGAGTAAACTTAATATCTTCTATTATATTAATCCTTTCCGGAACCGAAATCCGTTTTTCCGCTATCTCCTTTACCTTTACTATATTTATTAAATTCTAATTATTAAAACGCCTATACCCTCACGAGAGAGCAATGTCCGGGGCCCAAAAGTGTTATGGTTATTGAAGACCCTACACCAGAGGTCGTGGTACTATAGGCCCTATATCGTCGCGAGGAAGGCGCGGCGGTTCTATCTATTAGCGGTTAGAATGTAGAAAAAATACCTATCTTAGCGTCCTAAATAGGCAACTCTTAGCGTTAAGCAGGATATAGTTTAGATAGTACATGCAAACAGTACTGTATTTGACATGTTCAAATAGTTATATTTCTACGTTAATTACGTATATTAATTCGTAAAAAATACTGTACGAGTGAGCTCAATTGACTATATTCCTTGTATTATTTATATTAAAATACAAGGTAAAATATAGTATTATATAGTATTGTAAATAAAATCTCGATAAATAGTTACGTAGCCGTTTTATAATTCTATATACGACCGTAGTATAGGTTCCTAGCAATTCTAATACTCCTAACAAATTTAATAGCCTAACTATTTATCACTCCTAATAATTCTACTAATCCTGGCAATGTAACTAGTCCAAGCAAATTAGTATACTAATACTACTACTATTTATATTATTACTAAATCTACTACTTTTAATCAATAATACTCTTTTATTAATATTAATATACTTTGATTATTATAATTACCGTAGAATATTAGAAATTATTCAAAATTATTAATATCCATTAATTTAAAGCCTTTAAACAATTACGCGGCTATTTATACGATTTTTAGTAAAGTACATTTAATTGCGTATTACTACTTCCTTTATTTATAGGGCCTACTAAGAAGGTATAATACTATTACTAACGACTACTATTCTAAATTATTCTACTACCTTCTACTAATAACTTTCTACCTTCTATTTCTTAATATTAATAAAGTAATCGCAATACTATTTACTTATTAACCTTATTATAAATCCGATTATTAACTAGACTGATAGAAATTTCTTATACTTGTTAGCTCCCTCCCGGAAGGGTATAAGAAATTAGCTCCCCCCGCCTCTTAATTCTCAAACTTTCTCCTCTTTAATATAATATAATTAATATTTTATATTTGAAATTAACTTTAATATTCAATTTCAAATATCTTTTATACCTTCGAAATAACTTCAATACTATCCTATAGTAGTTTAGGTTTAATTATTCGCCTATGGATAATCGACTACTCTTTTAAATTAATTACTTGTCACGGCACTATATGACATAGTCCCGTCCCTCTCGGCGTTCCGCTACCGTAACCCAACCGTCCTTTAGTTAGCTCTATCGAGTTTCTACTTAGTTTATATATATAATTTGGGAGTAGAGTTTTCGCTATTCTCTTTTGATCTTCTCCTCTTCGTACAATATTATATCTTCTCTAAGTTCTTTTTAGTTGGTATTGTAATAGTATATTATACCTTTTCTATTAAGTTAATAGCCCGACGACCTCCTTATTGTTTCGCTTCAATTTATTTTAGAATTAGTACCGACCTCTCCCAATCCTTTAGTCCTAACCCTATTACACTATATATACAACCTAATTATATTTCGCTAAAACTCCCTTTTAGAAAACGCCCTAGATTGATAACCTTATTTTCACTACTACGTTCCGTTACTATTATACTACGTACCCTAGCTACCTATAATACTTTGCCTCCTTTTCCTTATATAATATATTATTAATATTCTATTATTAAAACTCTTATACTAAATTATAAGCGACTCTACGAATTTATTAAACGCGCTTATCCCCGGTTCTAACGCTATACTTACTTGTAAAGCTATTGCTCGGATTCTCTTCCGCCCGGATACCCTCCCCTTTATTTATAAAACGGTTAAAGGCTTATAGAAGGACCTCTCCAATTTTGTTTCCGCTTTAGAAGTAGACCCTAATATCCTTACTTAGTTCTAGCTCTACCTTATTATTATTAAAGATTATTTCGGCCGGATTTATAATAAATTTTGTATTATCCGATAGGAGGCTTTAAATATTTAATAAATAGTTAATTAGGCCTAGTAGACTATTACCCAGAACTTTATTATAGTTTCCTAAGTATAGTAGGACCTTACTAGGGTTATAGTCGAGGTTGCTATTGTAATTGCGTAGGCCTAATAAGCGTAGTAATAGTTCGCTATAATTAAAGACCGGGCTTAGTAATAGAACGTTAATATAATAATAGTATTAATTATAACTATCCTAATTATTGGCGCTACTTATTTATATAGCGTTGAACTTCCTGTGTTTAGCGGCGCTAAAATGTCCTTATTTAAACGCTAGGAAGAGTATATTAATTAGCAGTCCTAATTAATTATTAAATTAGTATTTAATTTTACTATATATTTAACCCTAACCGACTATATCCTTTATATTTTTTAGTACTTTTCTAACAATATTTATACGTACGTTCGGGTTAAGGTTAATATTATTATTTTTAATCTTTATAATATTTTGGTTTAATTAATTAGATTCTCCGATTTTTAAAATATCTTTATTTACCTTAATCTTTATTATATTACTTTAAATATTTATATTAAAGCGGTACGGGAAATAGACTATTTTAAATAAGGTAGTACCCTTTTTATTAATTTTATTATTATTTTTATTAAATTGGCCGATTAATATAAGTTCGATAGATAGTGTTGTGTTAACGCCTTTAAATTGAAGATTAGTAGCGCCCTTTAAGACGCTTTGATTAGTGTTATTATACGATTAGTAGTTAACGATTTTAATATATAGGTTGAATTCCTTTAGGTTTTGGCTAATAACGTTAACGACTATCGTTACTAGAATAATAACTTTTTAGCCCTATTCCGTCCGCTGCTCTTAACTAATAATATTAGTAATTTTATAATCCTTAATAAGGTTGGCGCCCCCTAGAAGGGACCGATCTCCTAAATTAAGAAGGACCGCCGTTGGAAGTTTAATTTATATATATATTATAATGTTCCTAATTACTATATAATAATTTGTATAGCGAAGGTTAAGTTAAAACCCGCTAGCCTCGCCGCTACTTCTATACTTCCTTAGAATACGGGAAAAGTTTAATTTCTAATATAAATTATTATTAGAAGTAAAGTTTGAGGGAATTGGAAGATTTATATTTATATTCTATAGGATTTAATGTTAATTTCTCTTTTTCGAATTCTTTTTATTTTAGCGCCGGTTTATTGGTCCTTTATTCTATTATAATCGATTTTAGTTATTCCCCGATGGGTTTTATTAATTCTTTATTTGTATACTATTATAATATCTTTATTATATTACTCCCTTAGTTATGTACTCTTTATTTAGCTAATAGCTAGGAGGGTAGTAAAATTTTATACGTTTGTATTCTATCCTATTTTTTAAGTTCGTTTACGGATTATTTAATTCTATTTATATAGTTATTTAGCAGTCCGGATATAATTTTCGGCTTCCCTTAGTTGTAAAAGTATAATTTAAAGATTAATTAGTTTAGTAGTTCTATAGAATTTTTGGGTTTTATTACTATTAAGGTTCTAGCCCTTATTAAATTTAATTAGTAAATATTTGAGAATATTCCTCCTAATTTTAATTCGGTTAGAATTAACCCTTTAATTATTATATTAACTATTAAATTTGCCCCCCGGAATAGGTTTAGGCCTATTACGAAATTTAAAGCGTTCTACCGCTATTCTACGGTAAAGGGGAAATTATAATTACCGGCGGATATGCGCCTAAACGGCTATACCTAACCTTAGAATACTTCTATCCGGATATTATCCGCCCTTAATTTTATTTTTATATATAAAGAACTTAGTATTAAGATTTATAAGTATATGCCGGATTAATTCTACTATTTTACTAAACCCTCGGTACTAGGACTTTCTAATATTATAGATAGTACTTAAGTGCCTAATAATTTAGCCAACCCCGACTAATTTTTTTATAAT